GATTTGACCAGGGTCACAGAGAAAATTAGTGGAAGACTGATAGTAGTTCTGTGATCTCTAGGCAGTGATTAATTACTGAGCACCTACTGGGTTCACAGCTTACAACTAGGTATCATTACTTGCACATTGGGTATAATTACAGACTGTGGATGCCAAAAAGAGAATTCAGTAGACATATTCAATCTTATTAGCAGCAGGCAATTAACATAGATTAAAGCTAATTATGTACCAGGGGCTCAGAGATGTTACTCCAAGACAATAATAGGTTGTCAATTTAATATATTACATATTGGAGCACTCACATACTGCTTGCTGAATATAGAATGTATTGTCAGTGAGTTGTATTTAAAAAGAAAAAGAGATATTGAAGAGCTAATAAACACATGGGCGGTAAAATTCATATTCATAGACCCCTAGAAGTAGATGTTAGAGATGGACAGAGCCTTAGAGATTATCCAATTCAATGTTCTCATTTACAGGGGAGAATACTGAGGCCAGGGCAAAAATATAATAGTCTTCTGTGAGGTCTTCTAACTCCCAGCCCAGCTCCTACTCTTTGCACCCTGGCACATAGACTTTGATCTTAAAATATATGAAAATTAAGTAAGCACCTTGGCAAATAGTAGAAGCTATAACGATAGGATTGTTGTTCTTGTTGTAGGTGGACTGATGTTTTTTACTGTTCTCAGGGGTCACAAGAAGGATTACTTCATAGATTACAATGGCACAAATGTGCAAATTACTACAAAATGCTTTACAACCTTTAAACTACATGGAAAGAGCAATACCTAAATCTTCAAATGTATCCTTCACTACACCCTTAAAGCCAAATAAATGAAAGCAGTCACTTAAGTAGGAAAAATGTTACATTTTTTCCTAGATAAAATTTGGATCTGATTACTTTATTTACAGGATCTAGGGCCTGAAAAAAAATGTCTATAAATTTGTTGTCTTCACAAATTGCATAATGCTATCAATTGAGGCAATTCAGGACTGTTCCTGAGATCTTTAGGCTTTATGAAACAGTGGTTTGAATATCATTGTTCTAGGTTGTTGGAGAAATCAAATTTTCTATGCTCAGTAGGAGAGTAAAAATGGAAGTTCTTGTGTTTGTTTTTGCATTTTCTATGTCATTGACTCTTAATTATGCTGGCATATGAATATTATATGTAGTTACACTAACCAATATTGTGATTAATTTTATATATTAAAAATGTTGTGGTTT